TTTCTGAAGGGTTCTCAGATTTCCAAAGGGTTCCATGTCTCCCAAAACATGAATGGCCACTGAAAGAAATCTTCATTGTCATAGCAACTGCCATATACTGAGTGCTGATTATATGCCAGGAGAATAGGGATAATAAGATCACCAGCATCAAAGGGCTATTGGGAGGATGAACTAAGGGGACATGCTGTATTTGTAAAGCACTTAGAATGGTGCTTAGCACAAGGCAAACGCTGTAAGCTTTGGTTGTATTTTATCACTTTAATTATTATTATCCATTATTATCATTTTCATTGCCTCATTAGTCTTCATGAAAACTTTATGAGGTATGTATTATTATCAACCCCACTTCATAGAAAAGGAAATATGAGGCTTCAAAGAATTAAGTAATTAGCTCAAGGCTGCAGAATAGCAGAAAAGGAATTGGAAACCTGGCCTGGCTGGTCCCCAAGTTCAGGCTGGCCCTCAGTCTAGATGCACTGAGGGAAGAAGGCAGGAGGACTCCTTGAAGAGCCCAGAGGAAGCTCTGGGCTCAGGTGACCCCAGGCCCAAGATCAGCTAAAGGGGAAAGCAGGCCTGGGGCTTTTTTGCTGAAAAGGCAAGCAAGCCTCCCTAACTTTGCACTTCTCCTCATCAACAACAGAAAGGCAAGCTGCTTAAAATAATTATGACGAAAAAAGAAAACCACCCCCTGCCACTGGTTATTCCCAGGCTCCAAAGTGAGCCAATGCCCCCAATGTCTTGAGTATAGTGAGTTCAAATTGGGAAGCAGGTCCGCCCCAGCACCCGCTGGCTAACCTCCAAGCAATGTTTTTCCTTCCACACTAACACATAACTCTGCTGAACATACCACTTGAAAGCCAAAGAGATGCCCCTTGGTTGCCATGGCAATGTTAAATAGACAAAACATTTTAACCAGCTCTGACGCACACACACACACTTACTTAAGGGCCAAGGGGATGAATTTGGTGGGGGAGAGGGAATGGGGTGGGAGTGTTGTTTCTAAAGCTCCATCTCCAAGAATTTGGCCCCAAAAGCATCTGGGTCAGACTGAAACAGGGCAAAGGGCTCCTTAAAAACAAGCCAAGGCTGGGCTTGCTCCAGGAAAGGGAAGCCACTGCTGTGCCTCTCTGCCTTTGGGTTACAGTCCTGGTGCCATTTGATGAAGGCCAAGAGGAGGGCAGCACTGAGGGTTACAAATGCTGATGGAAAAGCATCAGGCTTGCGTCCCGGAAACAGCATCTCAGTTTCTCACCCAAAAGGTGTGAGTGTTACACCAGCCCACAGCAGTCAGGAGGACTGAATGTGTCATGGGCTCATAAGCCTTAAAGAACTGTGTAGATGCACATTAATGCTGCTATAAAAATATTAACAGCTGCTTTCAACTGGGTTGTGTTTCCGTTTCCCAAATTTCATGGCTGAACTTCTGTCCACAGGAATTGATGACCTTGAATTTTTTGCTTTAGAAAACTCTGTTCTGAGGTTTCTCCCCCAGATGTAGGAATCTGTGTGATAAAGCATACAGAAGGCTTATCCCAGGTCTGAAAAGACCTCTGTGCCTATGAGTCTGTTGTACTCTGGGCTCTTCCATGCCCCTCCTTTCACCCTAGGCACAGCAGGACGAGGAGTTGATGTTGCCGAGGGGCTAGAAGAGCCTCACCAGACACAGTTCATGGCAATTTGGTACCGTCAATGAATGAATGATTGTAAAACCTTCCTCTGTGGGATCCATGATATCCTCAGGTAAACCCATTCTCCAGAAATGGGTTCCATGCCTGGCTGTCTCCGCTTGGAATCCTCTTCCACCCATCGTCTCTTGTGGTGAACTCTCTGGCCTTTCAAGACTAACCCTTTAGAAGCTATTTTGGAACCTTCCTTGTCCTGGGGGTAGAATAGGTCCCCACTGTGCCATGCACAGATGTCTGTGGGAGCAGCTGCAGTAGTCTATTGTTCTAATTGTTCTCTGGTCTTTTGCCCACTCATCTGAGTTCTTTGAGGGCAGGGATCACATCTTGGTCACCTGTGTATTCAGCTTGGCCTAGCCCAGCACCTGGCATTAGCAGGCACTCTGTGACTGCTTGCAGATTGACAGTCTAAAAGTACACAATGCCAAGCCCATTATGATTACGCACTGCTGCCCCTGCAATCCTCTAAGCCATATTCCACAAATGTCTGCTTTCACTTCCCTATCCTCTGGGAAGACCGCAGGAGTTAGGGCAGAGAACAGAGCAGCTGGACAGCCTAGTGGGTTAGGAAGAGTGAAGGGAGGGAGAAAAAGGTGCCCTCTTCCAGGGCTTGCTCCTCCTACAAAGCTCATGCTCCTAACCTACCCTTTAGCTGAGGATACGAACTGACCCACTGAAAACTGAAATAGCACCCACTCCATTCCTGCTCTGAAATAAAACAGCTTTTGTCTCCATTATTAAAGGACCCTAAAGGTGCTCTATCTGTTTTCTTAGGGAGTGACCACATTAACTCTATGCTGACTTTCTTTTTTTCTGGCAGAGCCCGTTACCCTCCTAACAGGATACACTTCCCAAGTTCTCATCTCATTGTGTGTCATCTTCCTTCTGCCATGCTTTCTACATATCTCCTCCTTTGGTATCCTCCAAACAGGCAATATTTAGCAAACAACCAGTGTTTATTATTGGCCACCCATATAAAGTCTAATTAGAAGGTTAACCACCTAGGAATCTAGAAATGGTGGCTCACACCCTATACCATGTTCTCAAATTATACTTGAGCAAAATATGCTTGTGTGCACACAGGTGTCCTATTAGCCAGAAAATCACCCATGCCTGTCTATCGAAAGAACTTCCTGTGTGATCTAGTGAGTTCTGCTTTATGAACTTGTCATTGTTTTGTGATGTAGGGGCAAGAACAATGATCCTATTGTCCTTACCATCATCCTACTTATTTCCTACAGAATAGAATAACTGTGGCAGAGGTTCTTACATTTTCCTGGACTCACATCCTGTACGCTGAACTATTCTCTGCTAGGCTTACCACAAGACTGTGTCTGCCTCCCCACCCCTAAGCTGGAACTAATTATCACAGACAATTACAGGATTTTATATTCTTGTGTTCTAAAAAAGAAAAAAACACACACACACAGTTCACACACACAAAAACAAAAACAAAACAATATAGCACTGGCATGGCTGAAAGAGTTATGGAGAAACTGCAACACTGCATTGGTGCTATGGTAGTATTTATAAGTAACTTATTTGCATATAAATTTGCAAAGAGGAATCTGAAGTGACAATATTACATGTTGAGCATCTCAAATCTAAAAATCTAAAATCTGAAATACTCCAAAACCCGAAACTTTTTGAGCATGACATGAGGCTCAAGGAAAGTGCTCAGTGAAACACTTTGGATTTTTGGATTTGGGATGCTGTAAATACAATGCAAATATTCCAAAATCCAAAACATTTCTGGTCCCAAATATTTCAGATTAGGGCTACTCAATCTGTATAAGCTTGGAAGTAGACTCTAACAACAAGCAAAACCTCCAACAGAAGGTGCTTAGAATACAGGTGCACCAAATAGAATAAAAGGTTGACGATTTCCACACACCAGTTCTACATGCACATTATAATAGGCTAGGGCAATTGCATCAGTACCTATCCTGGAGGGAAATAATGCATCTGTTTCATATGAAGATAGGACTACATGTGTAGCATGCCTGCACTAAAATTAAGTCTTCTATCATCCAAATTTTCTCAATTATTAATACCCTAGACAGCTGCAGTAGCTGCAGCAAAAATAGCAGCCCAGTTTTTCCAAAAGTCAAAGTAGCCATGAGATGTCAGCCTGGGGACTTTCCTATGTAAGGAGTGGTTGGTCTTTGGATCAAAAAGAAAGAAAACCTTCAGTGGAACAACAACAACAAAAACTTTTTCAGAATATAAACTGGAAAATGACTCCCCTTCCATACATACACTGACATCTTTATTAAAAAAATGTTTTTGTGCACGAAAAACAAAGCCAGCTGAAAAGGCTGCCTATTTGCCCAAGTCATTGGGATAACAATTCAGAAAACTAAACAGTAAACCCAAGGAATGCCAATCATTTTGGTTTATTCTAATATGAGATCTATCAAACTGTGCCTACTCAAAGGAGGTAGGATGGGGTTAGAGAAGCAAATTATGCCTTTTTTTTTTTTTTAGATTTCTGGAAGCGAATGTCCAGCAAAAAATTGTTGTCCTTAAGTTGCCACCTTCATGTTTTAAATAGGTTATTAGTGTTATCTTAACAGACACTGAAAACATACATTGTTTTTTGTAAATATTCATGCTTGAAATGTGTTTTGAAGTGAAAAACTAAGTTGATGTTTTCTGAACTCAACAATGACCATAAATTTTAATTCAAAGATTATGTGCAGGACATGCAATAAGAAAAAGAACAGATTTTTAAAAGATTAGTTTTGGGGGTTATGTATAAAGCTATAATATCAGAGCTTAAATGCATCATGCCAGAGAGAATATCACTTGCAAAGGTTATGTTGAAAAGCTTCAGATGTGACTGCACATTTCACATTTCCTGTCACAGTTCTGATTTCACATCATTCTAACCTTTAAAGGCAATCTGACCACATGCTCCAGTTTCTGATTAGTAAGATACCATCACCTCATCCATGCCTCAGCTCCACACACAAACACATATTGATGTGGGTCTTTGAGGAAGCAGAACGAGTCATAACATTTCAAGTACTAAACATGTATATGTTTGTACCAGTTCTGCATAATTTGTGTCTAAGAGCAAGGACAATATTTCACTTTAACTGTCTCACAATCTACATAAAAATCACAGCCATTTTTCAATAAATGCCAACAAATGTCAGAAAAGCAGAACACGGCTACTTGGAAATAGCTGTGAGTTTATTAATATAATCCCCTGGAGTAAAGCATCTGGTATGAATGTTTTCAAGATGGCCAATATCATTTAGAGGCAGGGCTTACTGACAGAACTCAAACATTTGCTACCTATGCACCACTTACCATTTGGGATCTGTTCTTCGGACAGCCATTGATGTCTTCAATCTTTTCATTTGCTGAAAAAGGAAACACAAGTCAGAAAAATAAATCACCAGAGAGACACTTTCAGTAGTGATGTTCAGGACACTTGAGGCAACCAAGTCCTAAGGCCCATACCAGGGTTTGTCCAATCAGCGCAGGCATGTGAAATACTGAGACACATCTAGCAAGCTTCAGGACTTACTCATCGAGCTGCCGTCCTCCAGGGACAGCTGGGGCAAGGTCGTCATCTAAAACAGAGACAACTGCATCAATGACAGTCTTGGAGTGATGGGGCATCGTGGAAATGCTTGGAGACTGGGAAAGAGAGTGAGCTGTGATTGTACTTTAGGCTCTTGGAAAGGCAAACACAACTGTCACAAAAGACAGAATAGTTCAGAGTGGATCAGTCCAGCTACAACTCAGCTCCCAGGGACAAAAGCCACAAATGAAAGCATCTCACTCTATCTTTGGCCAGACTAATATTGCTTTTGTTTGTCCTAATAACTATTCCCACAGCAGTGGCAAATGGGGAAAATGAGAAAGTGAGACTTTATCACTTTCTCACTATGTGACTTGACCAATGCCACACAGTAAGTCCAAATTAGATCAAGGGACACACATGTGTGAAGTCATATCACCCAGCTACTCAGAGAAGTGATAAATAAAGGCTGCGTGGCATTCACAGGAAATCAAGTACTAATACATAGGAGGATTGGCCCAGCTTCCCAGGGTGAATGCAGTTCATCATAAGTATGGAGGAGTCCCTGGCACGACACAGTCCAAGATATCTATGGAGAGACTGTGTTTGAGAATACAGCAGCACAAGAAGGTAGTAAGCATAGTGGTTAGAGCACTGGCTTTGGAGGCAAAGATATGTTAGCGTGAATTCCAGCTGCAGAGTTTTTTAGCGTGTGACATCAGGCATGTCATTCAACCTCTTTGGGTCACAGTTGCCTCATCTATAAAACACAGTTACTACTACCTGCTTCACCAGAGAAGCAATGAGAATTAGATGATGTCAGTAAAATGCTCAGCATGGTGCCCAACACGTAGTAAGTATTTTCTAAATGGTAGAATCATTAACCCAGTAATATGTATTATACTCAGGCCTCTGTTCTCACAGCACCCTGTACCTGTCTCTGCTTTGTTCTTAATCATCCAGTACATAACTCCTCCTTTTCTTGTTTCCCCCAACTATGCTGTGAGACCCTGGCAGACGTGTGTAGTTTATGTTTCACATCTGTATCCTTAGAGCTTAATAACTGCTCACAAAATTGAATTCCCCAAATAAAATCATGTCATATTTTAATAAATATGATACCTAAAACTTCCATGAAGAGAAAAGCCATTGGAAACTGTCTAAAAAAGATAATAGAATAACAGTGTCCCAAGCCTCCAAGATTTTAGAAATCTGAACCATTATCTCAAATTGAATTTATTTTTTCTCTACTATTTCTATCTTGAGAGAAAAGTGAAAATTAAGAAGCAAGCGAGAGGCAGAAAATTGTTCCAAAATCTGATCACCATAAGACAGACTGGCTAGTGTATATTCCGTCTAATCTACACCTTTTTTTAGAACTTGCCAGAAGTAATAGATGTTAAGGTTTATGACCCACCTGGGAAAATCCCAATCTTCAGAGATCTAATTGCATTTTCTCAACTCCTCTTAATATAAGAACACTAGGATAGGCATTGTAGAAAGCCTTGCTCTCAAAAGAGGTGCCATGAAAACCACAAACAAGGCAACCACTGAATGGAATCACTTATGGGTGTTTGTTCTTCTGTTTATTAGAAAATATAATGAGCCAGAATATATCACTAGCATGTAAACTTCATAAGAACAGAGATTCTTATGTGCTTCGTTTCCTACCATCACCTCAGAGCTTAGCACAGTGTCTGGTACACAGGAGCCACACAATAAATACTTGTTGAATGGAACTAAGAAATAAGTCTTTGAATATCTCAATGAATCAAGAAATCTTGATTCTTGAGCATTGAGATGAATCAAGAATGGCTGCCTATTTTCAGGCAGCTATCCTTCCACTTGTAATACAGATGTACATACTAAAGACCCAAAAAACCAAACGCTTGACAAATGGCACTCTTTCATACATGGGAAATTATGGCAGGCATGAGCTCTGACCTTGGATTTTGACACTCAGCACTGGAGAGAATAAATATGTGGCTTTTGAGAATCAAGGCCAATCAAGGTGTCTTCCAACTGGATACTCGTGATGGCCAAAGTCATAAGTCATTGGATTCTGATAATACCTACTTCAGCATTAGGCCATTAGTGCTCATTACAGTAAAGGATGGATAACTGTGATCCTAAGAAGTCATTTGGGACATTTTAAAGATTCTTTATATGCCACCTGAATAATGAAACCAAAGGGCTTGGTCTAATTTCTCTTCTAATTCCTTTTCATGGTCTGTCACCTAAACCCAGTCAGGTGCTCTTTGAATTTAAATATCATGGCTCTTACAAGCATAATACTTCCATTTTACAAAAGTCAAAATAAACTGATGGGGTAGAGCCTAATTACAACCACTGTAAAGAGTATATGGGAAGAGATGAATCAAATGACTAATCCAATCTCAAAATAAATAATTAATAAAACTACAAAATGAGTTTTGGGCCTCCTAGTTTCCAGTTTCATATACTTGAAATACTTCTCCTTTACTTAAATTCCCAGGAATTCCTATGGTTGTCATAAATAATTAGAGTGCTAATAGCAGCTCTGATTCTGCTGGTAAGAAGGAAGAGCTTGGTCTTCGAAGCTGAATTTATTAACTCAGGGCAAGGGGTCTTTGGCAGCATCCCAAAAGCAGATAATCAAAGAAACAAAGGCACTTATCCCCAAAGTCCTCATCTGTGATTAAAACTGGCATCTTTAAGTGCCAATGGTAATTTATTTATCCCAGCGTATTCAAGACTTTCTTAGCCCCACTAATGCAGTAACCTGCCTGCATGCAAGGTGACAAGTTAGTGACTGGAAAGCATCAGTGCACTTTTAAAATAAGAACAGTGGCATCAAGCTTATTACTTTTCAAAAGACTTCATTAAAGGATTCAGAGCATTTCAGTATAGCTTGTGCATCAATGCACTTACCATCCCTGGCAGTTAACAATCCTGCCAATGGGAAGAGACAAAAACTGGCTCCCCAGAAAGGCAAATGACTTACCCAGGGTCACATAATGGTAGTAGAACATCAACAGAAAGAAGGGATAGTCCTACATGTTGTCTGAATTTCCTGGTTGTATGCAGAGGCAGCCCAAATGGTGGTGGAAAAGAAGCTGCTATCAGGTCTTCCTACTTCTAAGAAGAAATTCTCTCTCTCCCTTTGCTCCCCTTTTCTCCAATCCTCCTTTGTTCATCTTTTCCTTCCTCTCTCAACTCTTACCCATTTTTCTCCTACCCCTTCTCTCTCCCTCCCTGCTTCTCTTGCTCCAAACTCTTCTGGCATCCTCCCTGAGTGACAGCAACGTAAGCAAAGGAGGGAGGCCTGTCTCTCTCTTGATTCATGCTGTTTATCCTGGCCTCATAAACCTTCTTAATAATTCACAGAGATGCCACTGTGATGGGCTGGCAGGCAATTGTCAACTTGGGGAAGCTCATGACTCAAGAAGATAATCACACTAACAAGAGGCTGAACACACAGATCCAACCTTAGCCACCAAAGGAAGGCTCCTAAAGAACAGTAGCAAAGGGCCCACTTTCTGCCTTATGGAAGATGATGGCGGAAAAGTCCCAAACAATCCCACTATCTAGGAAGCCCAGCTCCAGGGGTGTCTGGGATAGATGAAGACTTAAGAACAGGGCATGTAGAAAGCATTTAAGGCCAGGCTTGTGGCTCACACCTATAATCCCAGCACTTTGGGAGGCCAAGGCAGGCAGATCACTTGAGGCCAGGAGTTCCAGACCAGCCTAGCCAATATGGCAAAACCCCATCTCTACTAAAAATACAAAAATTAGCCGGGCATGGTGGTGCATGCCTGTAATCCCAACTACTTGGGAGGCTGAGGTGGGAGAATTGCTTGAACCCAGGAGGCGGAGGCCTCAGTGAGCCGAGATCGTACCACTGCACTCCAGCCTGGGTGACAGAGTGAGACTGTCTCAAAATAAAACAAAACAAAAAACATTTAAGATTTTCCTTGAAGTTACACATCTGATGTCCCTTCCCAGCCTGAAAAATCAACTCTTCAACCACCAGCCCTTGTTCTTAGGCTAAAGCCCAGAATTTGTTGCCTTATACCTGGTGGCCCTGCCCGACTTTGCCTTGCTGGCCCTCTGGCTGTCCTCTCTACACACTATTTTCTCTGCTGGGAATGCCCTCCCTGACTGCTTTGCCTGTCTCACTCTTAATAAAGTCTGAAGTCTTGGCTTATAGGCAAGCTCCTTGAGGAACCTTTCTGTGATTGCCACCTTCCCACCATCCCCACTCCGTCCTAGATCGGGTCTTAGCACCCGACCCATGATGGAGTGGGTCCTTAACCATGCCATCATCACTACACTCCTCCCAGGCCTAGAAAGGGGCTGTCCCTTAAAAGGCACAATTTTGCTGCCTGCAAATTTTGATGGGCCTTGATTTAGATATGTTTTCTTTTTAACTTTTCATTTTGATATAACTTCAAACTTACAGAAAAGTTACAGGAATAGTATAGAGAATTCTCATATACCTCATCCGTTCTCCTTTCCTTTCTCCCTCTCCTACCCTCCCCCTCTTTATCTGTAAGGCACACATATCTTTCTTCTGAGTCATTTCAGAGTAAGCCACGTGGATCATGCACTTTGCTTCTTATGCTTAGTGTTTATTTCCAAAGAACTAGGATATTGTCTTCCATGGTACAGCTATAAATTCTGACAATTTAACATTGATTTAATTCCAACATTCCAGTTTTGCCAATTGACTAAAAAATGTCCTTTAGACCATGTTATTGCCCTGCACAGGATGCAGTTCAGGATTATATAGTGCTTTTAGTTGTCACATCTCTTTAGTCTCCTTCATCCTGTAACAGTTTCTCAGCCTTTGTCTTCCACAGCATTCACATTTTTGAACAATATGGCCCAGTTTTTTTTTTTTTTAATAGAATGTTCTACAATTTGGGTTTGTTTGCGATTCCTCATGATTAGTTTCAGGTTTTCCATCCCTGACTGGAATACGACGTAAGTGATGCTGTGTTCTTCTCAGGGTATGACCTCAGGAAGCACATGACGTCCATCTGTCTCTCACCAGTGATGTAATTTTCATCACCTAGTCATGATGTGACCTGGATACTCCAATTAGTACTTACTTTGTTTCCCCTTGCAGCTAATAAGCAATCAATAGAGAGATATTTTGAGACTATGCAAAAATCCTGCTCCTCCTCAAATTTTCCCTTCTAGATTTCAGCATCTGTTGATGATTCTTGCCTTAACTCCCATCTACCAGATGGTTGCAACTCCCTCTACCTTTATCAGTCAACATTCTCCTGTAGAGTCCAGCCCTCTCTTCTCCTCCATTGATAGATCTATTTTTAAATGTATCTATTTATTATCATAGGCGTGTGGATTCCTATTTTATTTAGTGGCTATAATCCACTGTTGTCCTCAATTGATTTTGATGCTCACACTGTCCCCAGATTGGATTGTTCTTTGTAGCCCTACAGGGAAGAGACACTACCAAGGGGAGGACTTAATAAAAGAAGAGCTGCTGTGGTCTGAATGTTTGTGTCCTCCCAAAATTCTCTATTCAGGTTTAATCCCTAACGTAATGGTGTTTGGAGATGGGGTCTTTGGGAAATAATTAGGTCATGAGGGTAAAGATCTCATGAACAGGATTAGTTCCCTTATAAAACAGGCCCAAGAGAGCTTGATCATGCCTTCCTTCCATGTGAAAAGATGGCTGTCTGCGAATGAGGAAGTGGGCCCTTCCAAGACATAGAATCTGCCAGCACCTTGACCTTTGACTTCCAGCCTCCAGAATCATAAGAAATAAATGTCTTTTGTTTATATGCCACTCAGTCTAGTATTTTGTTATAGCAGCCTGAATCTCAGACAAGAGCTTTTGAAGGATTCCAACTCTCCACCATTAGAACTAGTGCCTGAAAAAGTAGTAAGCTGCCCATCACAGGAAGTAATTAATAGAGGTTGTTGACTACTTTTTACAGAAGCAATTCATTCATCAGATTGGGGCTTTTAAAGGCCCCTTCCAAACCTGACAGTTGAGAGCTGTGGCAGATCCCTAGAAAGTAGAACGGTGTGATATAGAATTCAGAGGAATGTTTAGGGGAGTACTAAATGTTGAGAAGGGGAGGCCAGGTGTGGTGGCTCACACCTGCAATCCCAGTGCTCTGGGAGGCCGAGACGGGTGGATCATGATGTCAGGAGATCGAGACCATCCTGGTTAACATGGTGAAACCCCGTCTCTACTAAAACTACAAAAAAATTAGCCGGGCATGGTGGCAGGCACCTGTAGTCCCAGCTACTTGGGAGGCTGAGGCAGGAGAATGGCGTGAACCGAAGAGGCAGAGCTTGCAGTGAGCCGAGATCACGCCACTGCACTCCAGCCTGGGCGGCTGAGCGAGACTCTGTCTCAAAAAAAAAAAAAAAGAAAAAGAAAGAATGAGTAGGAGCTTGCCAGTCAAAGAACAAGTGCAGCCACTAGAATTCTGTCCAGCATAAGATGAAAGTCACCAATATTCCAATTCTGGGAAAATTTTTTGTAGATACATAGATATGGATCTCTCTCTCTACATATACATATATGTATATTAAATACGTGTACACATACAAATATATCTTTTTACATTTTCTTTTAATGGGTATGTACGGGGGAAAGCATGGACTTGAAAGGCAAAGTGTTCAAATGGCCAGTAGTTCAACATCCAAGTTAGAAGATGCTTCTCCCCCTCTTTCACCAAGAGACCTGCGTTCATAAGACAATCTAAGAGTAAATGCTCTGAGCTGGCTGATAGACAACTGAGGAAAGAAGTCACACAGGAGATGCCTATGATTGCTGTCTTCTCAATCCTCCTTTTAGTCTGTTCTCTACATATAGAGCAGTTTCCAAGCCCCAGCACAACCAGTCTGGCGAGAGAGTCACATGCTGATATCCAGCCTTACTTGAGGAGTCTCTGGACAGAGCGATCCTGTGCTTGAGGGTTTAGGGAAGCAATTTAGTGGCCTCAGTTGTGGCCTGAACAAGTGGTGCTAACTTGGGTCTCTGGAACTGCAAACCAGTACCCTAGGCCTAAAGACGCCACTATCTAGGGAAGTTCATCTCATCTGAATAGATTCAGGGAAGCATCCTCCTGAACAACGATAAAACTGCTAACTTACATTTTCATAGCACTATGTTTAGAAAATGCACAACATACATACTCCCATTTGCCTCTTCTGAGCCCAAGGCAGACATGACTAATCTATCACAATATACTGACACAGATATTGAGACCTCATCATCCTTCTATACATACCTTTCTAGGTAGCTGCTGCCAAGTGCTATCCAGGAACATGTCATAGATTTCAAATATATGTCATATTTGATACCTAACTTGAATTTCATAAGATAGGTATAAGATCAGACAAGACAAGTATGGATATCTGCATTTTAAAGATGGAGAAACAGGCAGCAGAGCTGATCCCACAATCAGGAGGAATGGAGCTGGAATGAATGCAAGACCTCTCAGTATGATCCTTTTTATACTCCCTCTCCTGCTGCCTGTGCCAAAACCTGGGAAGGTTTCAGGTAGAAAAACTCTCCACAGCTGCAAAACTCAGTCAAAGTAGGCCCACATGCATAATGTGATTCTGCTGATGTGGGCTTCAAAACCCAGTTCAGGTGCAGGTTGTATTTCCATGAAGACCCTACCAAAAAAAAATGGCACCCCTTCCTCTGAGGTTCTTGGCCTTCCACACATTTGTTCTTTATTCTTAGCAAGGAGTACAGTGCTGGAACATGTTGGTGCTCAATAAGTGGTTACTAAAGTGAAAGAGGACAAAGCCCTGCACTAAGTTCAGCATCTCTGGAGTAAAAAGTGATATAATATAGTAGAACAAAGAACAGAAGCGTTAGAAGCAGACTGGCTGGGTTAGAATTCCCACGGAAACTAGTCAGGTGACTTTGGACTACTAAGCCTCACTGGGCCTCAATTTCTGCATCTGTAAAATGGAGAGAACACCACTTACTTCAAAAGGGTTTTGAGAAAATGAGAGAAATTTTTAAAGAGCTTTGGACAATAATGATGAAGAGTAGGAGTAAGAGGAAGAATTGGAAAAAGGAATGTGGCAGACAGACTTCACAGAGACCCCCAATGATGCCTGCACTTTGGTATTCATGCCCTTGTATCATCCCATCCCCTTTGAGTGTAGGGACCTGTGACTTGCTTCTAACCAACAGACTATGGCAAAGCTGATAAGATGCCATTCCCACAATTATGTTAGGTTAGGTAAGATTCTACCTTGTTAGCAGACTTGTTTCAGAAGCTTTCTCCCATGCTGGCATTGAGGAAGCAAGCAGATATTGGGAAGCCTATGTGGCAAGGAGCTGAGAGCAGCTTCTAGGAGGTGATGGTGGCCTCCAGCTGACAGCCACCAAGAAGCCAGGACCCACAGTCTTATAATTGCAAGAAAATTAGTTCTGCCAACAAACTGAGTGAACATAGAAGCAAAACCTTCCCCAGTCAAGCCTCCAGATGAGAATGCAACCCTGGGCAACAGCTTGGCTGAAGCCTTGCAGAGGCACCCAGCTAAGTTATGCCCAGAGTCCTGATGCACAAAAGCTGTGAGATAATAAATACGTGTTGTTTTAAGTGGCTAAGTTTGCGATAATTTGTTATACAGCAACAGAAAACTAATACAGGGAGAGGAGGAAAAAGGAGAAGAGGAGAATCAATGGTGGGTAGTCTTAAGAAATAAATAATAAGACAGCAGGGAAAACAAACTCCTTTCTCTTTGAATGGCAGCAGTAGTCCAAATGTTTCAGCTAAGGCCAACCTTCTGTGTTTTCAGGTACATATTCCACCGATTTAAGCAGAGCTCCAACTATGAAAGACTACTTCTCACACTTGAAGGGTAAGCAACTTTTCAACAACAACACGCCAGAGAGGCTGGGCCCTGTCCTCTCCTTGCATCTTCTCCCTTAGTCAAGGCTACCAGCGACAATAATCAGGCTAATGCTGTCCAATTGACCTCCAAGCCTCCTCAATCTGCTGTGGGCTCTCAGGCAGGCCCACGGGGTGGTTGCCTTAAAGCCCAAGGCAGAGCTGTGGTCAGTATCCACCCACATGCCTTCACTGGAGGAACTCTCTCCTCCCAGCACATGGCCAAGGCATGAAAAATTCCACTGCTCAAGTTCCCATCCCCTAGTATTAACCAGGACCATCTAACCCTCTCTGGAGTCTTAGCCTTTGATTTGTCAGACCCAAGTAGAGTTGGCAAGATTAATCCAGCCCCATGTTACTTATTTTTGGGAAATATTTCCAGAGTAATCCACAAAAGTACCATACAAAGGGGGAAATGAGAGAACCAGAAAGATAATGGGAGGCAAGAAGTGGGGCAGAACACCTCTTCCCCAAACCACCAGCATTTCCCTCTGGCCTTGGCCAGCCTTTCTTCTAAGAGAATCAAGATGATATTTCTGTGTATGTGACCTTAACAGGAAAAGCAAAAAATCAATGCTGGTACTCACACAACCTGAGTCAAAACACGAATCAAATAAATTGTCAAGACGTGAGACAGAAAGCTGCCTTCTGAGAGATTTCAGTGTTCTGTTCCCCTCACCCCAGCCTTTTGGGATGGCTCCACTGTAACTCATTACCCACAAGGTAAAATCTGCTCTTACCCACAACCTGGATAATCTGGGCCAGGAGGACGCCATCTGTCACATCTTGCTGGAGATCCTTGATGAGACGCTTGTGGCCAGATTTGGCTAGATAATGATTGGCCCAGTCTGTGTAGATCTGCAAGAAAAGCAAATAGGCAACTTTAGGAAGCCAGTCGGATCCCCTCTCAGAATCTGAGACAGCTGCTCGGGCCGGCACAGTGGCCACTGTCCCATTGGCGAGCTTTCAGGGCCAGCCAGCACCATTAAAATTCAGTGCATTGTGCTGATCACGCATTCAGCTAACCATAGCTGGGCCTTAGCCTATTGAGAGAACTGCTGTCAAGATTCAGGGAAAAACTAAAGAAAGCTTCAAAACATGCAGAGGCCTGAATGAGACAGGGGACACAGAACTAAACAGTCTGCTCCAGACGGCTTTGAGAGGCTGCAGCTTTGAGAGGCTGCGACTCTAGATGCAAGCAAAGTCTCCCCCACCCCTTCCCATCTTTTTCTCTTTATTGAGAAAACGTATGGGGAGGTTACCACCCAACAGGCATCTCTTAATGGGCCATTTCAGGGTAAGGAGGGCTATTGAGCTATTCTGAGTTCTCAGGAGCCTGGGTCCCTTGAAAAGAAGCCAAGTATGAAAACAGAGCCCCTTCAATTACTCTTGTGTGAGTGAAGTTATTTATGGCCTCACAATAATCTCAAATTTAATCGGTTTAATTTAAAAGCCAGGCATCATTTTCACTGTTGGGATTCTGTGAACAAAACCCAGCAAATTCCAACATATTTAAACACAACACTGTTGTGTGCAGCATTTTAGAAGGCAAAGACTGGCTGACCCATGGAATCAGGAGAGCAGACCCCCTTGGGGAACATATCTGACCTGCTCTTCCTGGTCACAGAATGGTCAGAACAGAAGAATATTTTCTTTCCAAACAGGCCAACAAGCACAAGAAAACTCTTGCCTGAAAATTTTCTCCCCAACCATCAAAGCCAAAAACAAACAAAACAAAAAACCTTCTCACTGATTTTGAGTGCCAAGTTCCATGCATGGATTTGTGAGTTTGCAGAAGAGTGTATACGTGAACACATAGGCCTTAGGGTATCAGCACCTCTTTTTTTTCAGAGGGATAGGAACAAATGACTGGAAAAAAGAGAATGTCCTGCCTCAACTGGTTAGTAGCAACAGGCTCAAGTACTAATCCCATGATGTCTCCACCAAAATGAAGGTGATCATTCTACCTCAACCAGTAGGCCTGCTCTGAGGATCCATGTGACTCCCAGAGCAGCATATGGTCTTATCTTCACCCTCCATCCTGTTCTTCCACATGCCTTTCCCAGTGTAATCTCACACAATGGTCATGGCCCCCTCCCCCAACACTCCTGGAATGGGAACAGGAGCCGGGGTCAGGTTTGCCAAGCAGAGACCTTCTAAGGAGGCAGCATCTCTGGCTACTCCACCTGGGGACCATGAGGGCCTCATAACAGGAAGGGATGAGGTAGAGCTGCATCATCTGGTTCATGAAGAGATGACAGCTGTAGCACCTGTCCACCACCCACCCACCTAGAAGCTCTGTCTTCCACTGCAGAGGCACACCCACGGTGTACTTCTATTTCACAACACAGTCCAAGGATCCAATTCTTAAATCCATGCTAGTCTCCTTCCCTGTGACTCTCCAGTTGTCAGAGACCAACAACCCAGTAAAGCAAGAGTATTTTCAATTTTATAAGCACAAAGAAAGCTCAGGAAGTAGACCACCACCTTTGTAATGACAATGGCCAACTTGAAATTTGAAATTTAAAAGAGCATTAAAGAAAATTATTAAGAGGGAGAGAGGAAGGAAAATAAACATTAAAAGGAAAAGAGGCAGACATGGGTTCAGGTCCCGGTTCTGTAGGCTCCACAACAGTAGGGATTTGGGTCTGTTTTGTTTAATGACGTATGCCAAGTATCTAAAAGAGCACATTTGAAAGAGTGCCTTATGCAGAGAAGGAGCTTAATAAATCCACCTAACATACAGTGCCTACTACACGCCAGGCACTGACATAAACATTTTACACACGTTAACTCACTCAATCCTCATTCTATGTGGCAGAGGTTATTATTGTGTTCACTTTTCAGAATAGAAAACTGAAGAGCAGAAAGGTAAATAACCTGTCCAAGGTCACAAGTGGCACAGCCAGAATTTGAGCCCAGGCTAACCTATTTTACAATCCTTTCAACATTCTACAATGCCTCCCTGAATACAAATATGAATGTTAATCGAGTTATTCATCCCTTCCATGGCATCCTCCTACTGACTCTAGATTCATGCCTCTATTATGTTCTCAGTGAAAGAATTTATTTTATTTCTTCCCAAGACAGAGTCTCATTCTGTCGCCCAGGCTGGAGTGCAGTGGCATGATCTCAGCTCACGGCAACCCCTGCCTCCCAGGTCCAAGCAATTCTCCTGCCTCAGCCTCCCAAGTAACTGGGATTACAGGTGCATGCCACCACGCCTGGCTAATTTTTGTATTTTTAGTAGAGATGGGGTTTCACCATGTTGGCCAGGCTGGTCTCTAACTCCTGGCCTCGTGATCTGCTCATCTCAGCCTCCCAAAGTGCTAGGATTACAGGTGTGAGCCACCGTGCCCGGTCCCAGATTTTAAAAGTAATCAAAACCCAAACCTAGATAATTTCCTTGCTATCTGAATGCCTTTGGATAAGTGACTCTACTTTTCTGGGTTTCAGTTTACTCACCTGTAAAATGAGTACAATAAGGCCTGCTTCAGAAGGTTGATGTGAAGACTCAGAGTGGCACTGTATGGAAGTGCCTGGCCTGATCCACATGGGGGCTCAGGAAGTGAAGGCAACTGGGGAGAAGGGCAATAAAGAGGCATGGTCTGGAACTGACAGAGTTGCTTTAATCTTAGTTTCTATGCTACCAATTCCCTCTGAGCCCTCTGGCCTAAGTGTTGTCATTTGCAAGATAATAATACCTACATCATTGGTATTATGAAGATGAAATGGGCTCATATATACAAAGGTCACAGAATCCAGCACATTCTAAGTGTTCAGTAAATAAGAGTTAATAATAAAAAATTTTATTAACAGCTTCATGAAATGGGCCATAACAAAATCAGTCACAGCCTCCACCCTGAATCTCCAGGATACAAATGACTCAAAGATTTCTTCCCCTTCTCACAGCCAAATTTCAAGAGTCTGGAACATCCCCTACCTGGAATCACAAAGTATGGCAGAGTGTAAAAGAAAAACAAGCCAGAAACTGGCCAGGCTGGTATATAAAGCAAGTCTTCCTTCCTTAACTAGGGGATGCACCACACTGCTCTCTCAAACCCCAAAGGGATTTCCTCAGCCACGTGGGAGGCACCATGAAGTTTAAAGTCATGTGCATCTAAAACATCAGCTGAGTGAGACGTGAACATCAACAAGGGCACAGCTGAATGGGATGAGATGCTGGTGCCTCAGCTCATCCCTTCTTAGATGATTAAGGTTCTTTAAAGTAGATGTACTGTCTCTACAACTCGGCTTCTTTGTGAGTTTGCATAACCCAGCAAGAAGCCGAGGTTAAACTTATTTTAACAAGTACACATACACACACACTGCGATTGCAGAGCCATGGTGAGGCCACACAAGTATCAGGTACACTCACAAGAACCTCTACAGGATAGAGTGGTTGGAAACAGCTCTGCCAAAGTAAACTTATCATTCTGAAACAAGAGCTCTTCTCTCAACTTTAATTTACCTACACACCAATGCCAAATGAACTTTCATAGGGCACAGCTCTAATCTAATTGTCTGTTCAAAAAATCATCAGCGGCTCCCCACTTCCCACTGAATTAAAGGGACACCCTTCACTCTTAAGGCAGACTTATCATCCGTCTGTTCTACCCCAGAATGTCCTCCAACCTTTGAAGGGGAGGCAGCGTGTGTGGAAGAATGGAGCCTTTGGTATCTGACCTAGTCAAGCGGGCCCTTGGCCCCGGGCAATGTTAGTTTCTACTAATCTTTCTGTTCTTCGGTTTTATCCTCCATAAAACAGGGATTACATCAAGCATATTAAAAGGCAGGGGCTGGCAAACTGCAACCCGGGCCAATTCTAGCTGACCACCTATGTATGTAAACAAATAGGTGGTCAACAATCTCGGGACAGGTATCAGGACACAGACTCATCCATTTGTGGTCTCTGGTTGCTTTCGTGCTACAAAGCAAAGCTAAGCAGTTGTGACCGAGAGACCTGTGGCCCACAAAACCTCAACTACTGACTTCCAGCTCTTCACAGAAAGTCTGCCAGTCTATAAGGACCAAATGAGATGATACATCTACGCATACCACATGCTCAGTAGTAATAATACAATAACCCTCAGGAAAACCAGACACGCCCCACACTTCCCTCTCTCTGAACTCAGCCTATCCCCTCTGCCCAGGTACCTCTGCTGCTTGAGGCCGTCTAGTCCAGTTCAATTCTAATGCCCATCCCCCATCAAGTCCCTCTTAATTTCCTCACCCAAACCTCAGCTGCCTGTGATATAGCAGATGTAGATAACGTGTATGCTGGCACCACCTTTCCACTCCCACTTGCCCATCTCTGCACTCCTGGTAGTGCCTCACAGGGGCTGGCCCACGGCAGGAGGCTAGTAAGTGGTTGCCAGGTAGAGCTGAACATGGAGAAAAAGGGCAAATCTTGGGAAACTGATTACACTTGAGACTTACATAATGTGGGCTCTCAGCAAATCCTCCAACCAGAATCTCTTTATTGATTAAAAAGAGCAGGGAGCAGGGAAAATAAATCACTCCATAGCTCAGGCTCATTAATCAGAAACCATTTAACAAGGATCATTAATTATCTGGAGTTTCCCCTCCCTTCCCTCCCTGTCCCCAGCTCTCAACTTTTTGAAGTGAATCATAAGAAAACACCTAGATTTATTTTTTAAATCAGTGTTCATGGGCCATGCTAATCACAGACATAAATTCAGCCCCATCTCCTTCACTTGCTGTTTCAGTAGCTCATGCAAGGAAAATCATTCTTCCAAGGGGTACCCTTGAAAAATAAACTTTTAATTTCTTTAGTCATCAAAGATAGATTTCATCACGTCCAGCAATTCAGCAAAAATGGAGCAATGTGTGTTTTG